TTTCAAACTAACGCACTGACCATGGAGAAAAAAAGCGTGGACAATATCATAAATAAAATTTCAAGATATTTATTTTTTTAAAGGGGAGGGGGAGGGAAAAAAATGTGAAAAAGCAACAATTGCCTCGTGATCTTTTTTGTAGTCATTATTTAAATTTTTAAAAAGAAAAGGCGAACCATTCAACCGAAATTTAACTAAACTCGGTTATTGTGAAATTTAACTAAACTCGGTTATTGTGAAATTTTAATTAATCCATTTACTCCTCGTTATTTCGTTTTGCTTTTTGCTTTGTTGTACAAATATTGTCTGATGTAAAAGTGTGGGGTAAAATAAAAAAGCAATTTTAACAATTTCGTGATATCTGAAATGACATAAATATTTAGAAATAGGTCATAAAAAGGATGGTATTGTTGTCATAAACGATAACGCCTGATAAAGTGGCTCCTCTTTCTAAACCGGGAAATAATGGGAGAGGCAAATACCATTGTGTACGGTATTATAATATGATGTTGGTTTGTGATTTTAAACTACTTGAACGAACTTCCTCTTTAAGGCTCGAGACTATGAGAATTATGGCGATCCCAATTCCCTATAAACGATCCTACCGTTGTGGGACAATTTTAGAAATCCCAATGGAAGTTTTTGGATCGGTCGAAAGGTAAAAAAAACGGTACAACGCATCAAGTGGGCGTTTTTTAGTCAAGCCACAATATGTCATATTCTCGACGGTGTCCGTATCGGTTTATCAGATTTATCAGAGTCGAAAATAACATTTTTCTGCGGATTTTCATTTGTGAAAAAAATATATTCCGACAATCGTTAGGCGAATAATAATAATAAAAAAAGAGATGAACATTTTCATATAAATCATATAAATCGCATATATTCGTGTGACCATGTGTCTCAATAATTTCTTGTTCATTATTATATGCTGTATTTCCTCTCACGGGAAAATTCTATTTGATTAATAAAAAGATAACTTTGACGATGGACGAAAAGTTCATGGAAATCGTTATGACAAAATGTTGCATACGTTGGACGGCCAAAAAAAAATCCCGTGAAAGAATAAAATGGCTTCTTTATTTTATTTTATTTTTTTAAAATAAAAAAAAAAAAATCCAAAAATAGAATGTACACATGCAAGCGAAAACCCTTTTTTTTTTTTTTTAATGAAATCTTTTCAATGATCCGCCAAAGTCGAGATAACTCGTTATCTTTCTACATAACCAGCCATGAACAGGTTGTAGAATAATCAATATCTCGAGCTGATAACTGAATCTATAGGTCAGATGACATTTTTTTTTTTTAACGATTCTTCCGCATTCTATAAAAGGGAAACAAGGAAGAGGAAAAGGTAAAAAATATATATAAGTTTTTATTTTTAGTATTATTAAAAAGATGTTGTGAATGAATGAACAAAGAAAAAAAAAGGAAATATCAGGATTTAAATCTAAATCCTGTTTATTATTAATAATATGTAAAGTTTCATAAAGTAAATATTTTGATTTTTTGAAACCAAAGTGTAAATAAAGAATATGGATATTTGAATGAATACATAAAAAAAAAATTTTGGGTTATATGATCACTTTGATGATCTGTAAAAAAAAAAAAAAAAAAAAAAAAACGAGTAAAAACTGGAATAAAATTTTCATAATATCACATGTCAAGATTTAGATTCTCTGTGTTATCTGGTGTATCGTATTTTTTTTTTTTTTATATTAATCATTATATTTTCTATTTTTTTTTTTTTTTTCATTTCATGGGTTTATCAAAAACCTAGCTAACTAAGAATAATGTTTGCCGGTCATTCGTTCGTCAAATCCCCAACAAATCCCCGAACATCTATAATTAAATAATCATCCGATAATTCATTTACTTTAATGTATGATCCAATCATTTCATATTAGTAATCTATTTGGTGTGAATTAACCGTTCAAAACTTGTTTCAGAAAAACACCTCTAAAACAAATTGTTAAGCGAATATAAAAATATTGCTGCGTTAATTATAACCCGTATTACAATTAATTATTACACAATTTACGCTTAAATATTTAATCGGAAAATCGAATTCTTAAAACTGCGACCCATTTAAGGAAATGGTGTAGCCCACAAGCTCCATTCTTAAATCTAATTTTAAAAAATGTAAATCTTTGTTATGGCCGCTGCGGCTATGTTTATTATTTTTATTTTTATTATTTATTTTTAACCCTTTTTTATTTTTATTATCAAAAAAACGGCAGAAAATTCGCCGTAGGTACCAAGGAAACTAAAAAAATAAAACTTGTTTAAATCGTAATAAGGTAAAAAAAAATCACAGATCAACAAAAAAAAAATAAAAAAAACTTGTTTATCTTATGGTGGCTAGTTATACAATCAATATGAAAGGAATCAATAAATGAAATCATAACCGCCAACGGCCGATCCTTCATTCACTTCATTTAAACAATTCCATATTGGTAATGGCGATGCACGGAAATGTCGGATTTGCAGAAAACATGGGCCGGATTTATCTATTATTGATGATAATATTTTTTTTTTTTCATTTAATTAGATAAAATAAAATGATCCGTATGTACATGTTATTTATGGTAATCATAGAACTCTCTGCCGTTGCATCGCAGGGTAAAAACATCATTCGAATAAAAGAACTTTCGAATTTCGGTCGGAACCTCGGAAGTGATTGTCCGAGTTTATCATGAAAACAAAAAAAAATAGGCGTAAAGTAAATAAATATTAACAGGATTTTTTTTTTAAATTTTCCCGTAGTCCTTTTGTTAGCCTTTTTTAAGAAATGGAACCCTAGGTTTGAATGAAATAAAAAAAAAATTAATAATAATAAATAATAACTTTTTTATTTCCCTTTCTTTAGTGGAAATCGGCAAATCCTTTACATGGGAAATAAAATAAATTTACAATGGATAAACGTGAAAAGGGAGTGTGATTGAACAAAAAAAAAAGGAAATCGACCTTGTTAGACTACAATGGGAATCACGCGTTTTCATTATGCTAAGTTTCACACTTTCCTATTATGTATCGTGATGGTCAAACATTTATAACACAGATAGATTATGGATTATGGAATCACAATTAATAATGTTAATTTTTTTTTTTTTTTTTACCATTAATATTTTTTATTAACAAACAATTAAGGATAACAACAATTAAAAAATAAATCAAAAACGTTAAGACAAATGATGCCAAATAAAGAAATGAAGGAATACCCTTTCAAGTTGGTTGTAATCATCGCGTAAGATTCCTTTTGATCATTTATTAGTAAGGAGCGTGTGAATAATTTATTATGACAATGAATTTTGTTCCGTGTATTATGAATTTCAGGGGGATAATAGGGGGGCCGAGTCACCAAACCTCTTTGCGTCATTAACGGCGTGATTATATCAGCCCACCATTTTACAAATGTCACATATCACAAAGATATACTGAACATATGATAAAAAAAAAAAAATCATGTCACGCGTAAACACTTTGATGGTTACGACAAGAATGTGAGCCGATTCGGCTTCCCTCATTGCCTTTTTTGTTTCGCGTCTAAACAATTTTAAAGTCAATACCCGTTAAACAGTAGCTTGGCAAGGTTATTTCGTACCAGTGAGCTCTTTCTAAATTCGGGTTTCATCACATTTGTGGTTCAAAAAAATCAAGAGAAATTTTATTACTTAACAATTTTCGTAATCAAATTCATAAGCCGAAAATTTTTATTGCGTTAGCTCACACAAAAGGCATATCAATTTAATTCATGAGATTTGTGTGGGGTATTAAAAAAAAATTAAGTGTTGTCATCCAGGACTCGTGACCGGCTCGTCATACGTGTAACGCTGCGAAATCCTGATCTAATCAAGAACCTCGGATGAGACGAATTCTTTATTTGGTTACTCAAAACAACCCTCGATGCCCGGCATTGCTAATCAAAAAAAAAAAAAGACCGAATTCTTTTACCGGATATTTCATGCGGTACCTTAATGCGGTGAAATTTACTCATCCGTTCATTATCTATCAATGTGTTTAATCTAAACAAAGAATTAGAGATGATCTGATGAAATTGCGTCACCAAACCTCGTTGATCATTTACCACGAGGCGATCCAAATTTGGTGAATTTTAATGCCGGGTGAATGGAATTTGTTTTGGTTACCCTTTTGTATTGGTACATGGTATGTTCAATAAATTACGAATGATCATCCTTTTTTTTTCTTTCTTTTTTTATTTCAAAGAAAGAAAAGAAAAAAAGGACAAACATCATGGTAGCACCACAAATGGCCATCACAAATAGACGCTGCGCCATGATGAATTAAAAAAAAAATAGTCGTCTGTGGGGAGCTCCCAAAAACCTTTTTTTTTTTTTCTCTTGATAAATCGCCGGGAAATAGCAACGCACCGTGCATAGTTCAATTTAATCGATTGGACGGGAGAAAACGGATTTTCAATGGTGTGACAAATTAACCTTCTGACTTTAATCAACCCATTTCCCGAATATTAGGAGTGAAATTCCTTTTTGGAGGGAAAATTAAAAATTCAAAACAAAATCGTTTTACATAATGGGGTGGATCAAAGCGAATAAAAGGAAGAAATAAAAATAAAAAAAAATAACGTTTAATGATTAACTGGTGAGACAATTTATCTCATGCACCTATGCGTACAGTTTGTAGATGCGCACAATATATATATCTCGACCATGTTGGTTTCTCAACCTTATCATAGGAACAAATACATGCATTATCAAGCTTAATAAGACGAGTTTCAACAAACAACTTTTTATTTTTTTTCCTTCCATAATGCATACATAAATCAGATAATTTATGAGGTAATATCCTTCTTTTATCCGTTTATACCTCAAACATTTATTTTTATTTTTGTTTTTATTTTATTATTATTTTTCTTGTCAAGAGAATAATGAATGTCGTAGAATTTTTAATTTGGTACAGTCCATTTGAATTACAAAAAGCAATCAATTACCAAATAATGATCAAAAAAAAAAAAAAGGTTCTCAAAATAGAATTTCACATTGTTTCAATAAAAACTCTTGACCTGCACGTTGACGGAGATTATTTAGACGAAGATAAAGAAAACGGTTACACCGAAAGCAAAGATTTTGAATGTCACGAGATAACTTTATGTGATAAAGTGCAGGTAGGAAACAAAGAGAGTAAGAAAAAAAAACCAATGTATGTTCGGATGAAATAAGAATCTATCACCTCTTCGTCATCATACATCCGTGAAACCATGGCTTGACGATGATCCGCACGCACATTATATTTGACATAGTGTCCTTCGGACTTTTCCATATCGAATAATTTCATACATCATAAATTATAATATAATTCGTTTATTGTTATTGATAAATAAAAATAATTTTTCCGTCATTAGTCTTGGTCTTTTGGACAACCTTTTTTTAGCTCTAATCAAAACAATGCTACGCACAATCATCAAATTAGATAATTTAAGAGAGTATGATTTTAAGAAATCCGTCATGAGACCTTTTTGACCGAATTTCACCTTTGATGGGACGACTTTTATATAAATGAAAAAAACATAATTGGGAAAATCTCTCGTATGATTGATTTCTAATTTAGGAAACCCTAGTATTCATTTATTTATTTATTTGGCAAATTTTGGTCTCTTGAATATTGTCACCCTAAAAAGCTTTCAATCATTCGTTTTGAACGAGTTGACCGATTTCAATCAAATTGGTATAACATTATACCATTTCCTTTCCATTTATCAATGAATAGTTTGGAGATGAAATAAACATTATTTATTATTATTATCGAATATATTTTTAAAGAAAGAAAAAAATATTAATAAACTTGGTATTAATTTTCTTTTATTTCTTTGGAACCAATAAAAAACGAATTACTTGTTGAATCATTATTTCATTGTGTGTTGTTTCTTTTAGTAGAATAAAAATGGAAATTTTGGTGAACAGCCCATAAATGTTAAAATGACAATGTGTTAGTTAGTCCCCGATTTACAAAAGAAGCATCACTCACACATTGAATATCATAAAAGACAATTATAAGTAAAAAAAAAAAAAATCTTGTTTTCCCACAAAAGGTTCTTTATCATATCACACGGCAAAAAATTTTTTTTTTTTTTTTTTAACATATAATATTAGTTTTAATTTAAAATAGTTATGACAATAATATAAAGTTTTGTAACACAGAGACTCGCGAAAATTATCTTTTTATCATTGTACTTTTTTTACAACAATGTAAATAAAATAAATATTAAATATATATTATATTTTATTTACGTTTTACTTCAAAAAAAAAAAAAAATAAAGAATAAAAAAAAATGTCAAACCTCTTCACTTCTTAAACTTCTTATCAACAATCGACAAAAGGTTTCGTTTAAAGAGGGGGGGAAAATAAGCAAAAAATAATTTTAAAACTCCCCTTCATTCTTTTCGTCGTTAAAAAACGGAGTTGGTTATAATAACGCCTCATCAGCCACATACATAAAATAAATATACAGTATAAAAAATTACTATTGTCAGTAGCAATAATCACATACTTATATAAATTTTTAGATTACATTTTATATTATTTATAAGGGTTACAATAAAAAATATAATAATATACATATAAATTAAAAAATTCAACCAATTAAAACCCACAATAGCAACAATATTTACTATGTATATTATTTATTCTCATTCCTTATAAATATCCCACAAAAAAAAGAAACTTTCCAACAAAAAAAAAAAAAAAACTTTCAAAAGCTCAATATCAAAACAAGACTTGATAAATTTCTCTGATCCTCATAAATAAAAAAAATTCAATTGTCGCTAAAGAAGTAAAAGTAATCTTTTAACAAAACGAAAAATATTAATTAAGAACCTATTTTATCATTCCAAATATACTATATACATACACCCCTTAACAATTTTTTTTTTTTTTTTTATTTATTCCTTTCTATTATATCCCTTCTTTGGATTTTTATTAGATCTCTGGAACATATACTTTGTTAAACTCCACATCACATATAAAGTGACGCTTTCTTATATAATACAATCGTTATATTAGTTTAAGATTTTAAATTTCTGTCTCACAACAAATTCTATTTAAAAAGACTTGTTCAAACCCTTCCCCCCAAAAAAAGTAACCTCTCATCGATTTCTTCCCTTCATTTTTTTTTTTTTTTTTTTTCTATTCATATTTTCGTTTTTCTCTCTTAATGACACCTCGCGTATCATTTCTCGGCAAACATACAACGATCAACGAACAACTTTTCTCTACGAATAACATCGACGATCAATACATCAATACTAATAACAATAATCAAACTTTAATGATGAGCACACAACAACAACCACTTTCTCAACGTGTAACAAAACGTCGAAGAAATAGGGATACCCCTCCGAGACCATTAAATTCCTTCATGATATACCGACGAGAATACCAGAAAAAGATCAAGGAACAGCATCCGAATATTCTCCTCTCTGAGCTTTCTCGCATTTCAAAGTCTGCCGCGGATGAATGGGCCCAAGAACCTCAACACGTAAAACAAAAATACGCCGAAAAGGCCCGAGTGGAAAAGGAACGACACATGAAGTTATACCCAAATTACGTCTATTGTCCAAGGAGACCATCGAGAAGCAAGCAGAGAAAGAAATCAACTTCTGAAGGTTCTTCAGAAAAAATGTCTCTCAACTTTTTATTGAACGACGAAAGCAACACGTTTCGTCCGTACACCCATCCATACACGCAAGTGTGATCCTTCCTTCGATCTCCCGTTGAAAAGAGGATTTGATTAAATTTGCGAACAATTTTTTTATTCATTTTTTTTTTATTTTTTTTTTTATTCTTTCATAACCTTCCTCCTATCTTAATTTCTTGACGTTTTCCTTTGTGATTTTACATGGAACTGTCATATCGTGAGTGAAACAATAAATAATAATACTAATTAATCTTGGCACTAGTATTTCTTCCTTCCTTGTAACCACAATTTCATCAACGTAAGAGAAATTTTTAAAACCCCATTTTTTCTTTTGTAAATTTTTATTATAATTCTTACATTTGTCCTTTCTTCGGCATAACGTTTTACCCCCCTTTTTTTTTACCATTTTCTTTTGCGACGAAACAAAAACGTAGTAGTAGTTCAAAACCAGAAAAAAAAATTTATTTATAATTATTAACATGCAAATTATAAAAAATGAATTATCGTATATTATGGTTCAAATCAAAAAAAAAAAAAAAAAAAAAAAAAAAAAAAAACATGAAAATTTTAAGCTTTCCCGGTATTCAATTTTTTATACATTTGCGTTTTTTTTTTTTTTTTAATAATTTTTGTACAGCTTTTTATTTTTTGTAAGTAGTTTTTTAGTATATTTTCTTCTGCTTTTTTTTATTTAGTGCATCATCATTTTTTTCTTTTTATTTCATAATCTTTATTATACATATACATCACACATATGGGCAAGCTTAATTAAAAATTATGTCTTTTTTTTATCATCATTCTATTGGTATCCATTTTTTTTTTTTTCGTCAAAAAAGTTTTCCACGTAAAAAAAAAATCCCCTTTTTTTCTTTATTTTAATAATCTGTGTATTTATTCTTGAGAAATAAAAAATAATAAAAAAATTAATAATATATAATTAAATCATTTTTTTTTTGTGAACTTTATAATTAACGTCACCAGTTTGCGGGGATGCTCCGAAAAATGTTGTTATTGCTTATTATTTATTTTATATATTACATATAAAAAAAAAAAAAAAAAAAAAAAAAAATGATTATTATATAATCTCTCATCGGCGAATATCAACTTTCGCGTGTAATTGCGTTAGCAGTAAGAACAGAATATTCGGTGACAAAATTTATTTTATTACGAATAATAAACTTGTAAGGTTACTTGTTCAATTTAACCTGTATTGGATTATATCATCATCTTTCTTTCATTTGTGTTTTAGGTGAACTTTTTGGTAAATATATTGTAATTGTAAAAGATCACCTATCCCCAAAATGGGATAATTATTTTTTTTTTTTTCGTTCCATATGAAAAAAAAAGTAAATTCGGGAGTTTTTTATTATAGACAAATTATTTCCTTTAAAGAATTTTTCATTATTTCATAATTGTTGAAATTTGACATTGTTTACATTATGATGAACTAATCTTCTTCATTAATAATAAAAGAACAATATTCTGTACATGTTTACATTCATAATAGATTAGATACTGTATATGAGAAAAAAGGGTTACCCATGGATTTTATTAATCAGATCTGGGTAACCTTTTTTTGAATGTTTTGGCAAGTTCAGATGACTAAATTTGAGAACAATGTGTAAGACAATCCAGATAGAAAGTAACCGGCTAATTTTTTCTTGAAGACGGGTTGCGAAAATGTGTGGCTTTAAATCCACCTAAAGTTTGAATTTTATTATGAACGAATTCTTGTCACACGAGACAGTCAATCTTAAATTTTTTTATTCCTTTTTTTTTTAGGTTTCATCTACACAAGAATGAATTGATTTAGGTTTAGAATAACTAATTATTATTTTTTTTTTAAACAATGAAACAAATTCGTCAATGATGATTAAACCCAATTTTTTAATGATGGTTATAAACTTTTTTTACGCCGAATCATTAATCGGCGTAACCTGAAAAAAAAAAATTATCCATTTTTTTCAATCTTACTTTTTTTTTCTTTCATTTTTTTTTTATCCAGAGGAAAATAAAATTTTTCCTAATCTATTTTCTTTTGATTTTCACGCGCGACTTCCGTTCAAAACAAACAATGGAGTCATTTTTTTTTACGAAAACGGGTTGAATTAAATTATTTGAGCCATCATAAAAAATTTATTTTTTTTTTTTTCGTTTAACAAAAAAAAAAAAAAAGAAACTGTTTTCGAATTTGATTTCATTGAACGGATGCTAATAAGTTTTAAAATGCATTATGATATTATTATTTTTGCCCATTGTTTCGAAGTGTTACATATAATTTTTTTTTCCCCAAAAAAAAACTAGATCATTACAAGAATTATTAGAATTTTTTTTAACAATGACAGAAATGAACTAATCCAAACTTTGATCCACCCGCTCATTTTATTTTATATTAATCAATTTTCTCCCAAAGTTAATAAAATTTAATGCTGGTCAAAATGGCTAATTTAGATTGATTTACACGTGACTATTTATGCATTTTCCTGTATGTAGCGAGTTTTCGTGTGGATATCATGCACCGATTTTTTTGTTTAAAAAAGTTAATAATGTTTTTCTAATGAAGCAATCGTAATTTAGAAACTTGGAATGTATCTGAGCTTGCATAATGATCATCGTGCGTGGCAAC